TGCCCTCCGGTGAAAGCATGCACATCTCTCAGGACCTGTACGGCTATGAAGGAAATCTGACGTGTCTCTGCCTGTGCCTCTCGTGCTCCACAAAGGCCTCCAATCAACGCGCGGTGGTGCCTGTGCGCTCCAAGGTGGTGAGCACGCTCATCAATGTGCACGTGTGGGGACCCCAAACGTCAACGACAGTAGTGGAGAAAAAGAAGAGCAACGGTGCTACAGTCGCGGCCATCCTACTGGGTCTGATCGCAACTGTCCTCGCTGTGTGTTTGACTGTCATGTGCGTGCGAAAGTATTGGTTGGCGCGGGAGGAGGAGGTATATCGGGTGGAGACACTTGACAACGAGCTGTATCGTGTGGGACATGATTCCGAGCTGGAGGTGCCCGTCGATGTGGACATAGGAGTGATGAAAGCGGTGGAGAGGGTGCAGTGAGGCCCATACCTCCTGGTTAGCTTGAGAATGCCTTATTCTTTTCTGTTTTGCCGCTCTGCAGGTTGAATCAGCCGTCGCTGGTGTTAGCCAGCGAGAACGAGAATGAGGGAGGCGAATGGGGAGGGAGGGGCCAAAAAAAAAAAAAAGGAGTCCGTAAGGGAGGCTCCGCTGTATTACTTTTACCCTCTTTTGGGGGGACTTTATTTGTCTTTGTGTGCTGGTTTTCAATGGTACTTGGATGGAATGTTTTTGCAGTCTGTTCTTGCTTGATATTCTTTCGCCCATTGCAGGCCACGAAGGGGGAAGACACACATGGAATCAACTTGGAAGAATGGGGCCGATGAAAAGATAAATGGTTTATGAACGTCAGAAAGAAAAAGGGGTGGGGGGTGAAAAAAAGACACAGCCAGAAATGTTTGATTTGCTTAACGTATGATGTGATGTATTAATGAGGGAAAGGAAAAAAAAAAACGATAACTTCTACCTTCTTTCCGGTTGTGTTTTTTGACTGTCATCGTTGTCATTCCTGTTGGTGACAACCGGCGGGGGGGATCTGGCGATGGCTCTTTTTTGTCTCTCTCTCTCACCCTTTGGATTCACCGCGGCAGGGGGAGGGGGGCAACGGCGGAAAGGAGGGGCGTGGAAACGGGTGGACGCCGTGGAAAACGACGCTTAACGCGTAAAATGTGGAATAAACGCGAGGCGAAGAAAAAAAAGAAAACTAACAACAAAAAACAAAAGAAGTGCTTCTTTTGGAGGCTGTAGGAAAAAATGTGGGGGAAAAAAAAAGGGTGTTGAGGTCTGTCGCGGCTTCTACAAATATGGAGCGTGTGTTGCTTTCTTTTTTAGTGGAATGATGTCTTTTTTTTGTTGTTGTTTTTTTTTTTTGTTTCGTCGCGCGCTGGTGTGTGTGAAAAACGGAGAAGGCTTCCTAGTCAGGCCGGAGGAGGGAGAAGGAGGGAGGAGGGAAGGGGGCAGAGTAAGGAAGAAGGATTCAGGAGGGCGCTAATAAAATGAGAATTGTGAAACATTGTCACGATCGACCACGTGTACTAATAGGTTTGCGGTCTTCTGCTAGAGTGGTGTGCTCTGTTTCTGTGGAGCGACCGATCACTTCTTGTTTACTCGTTTGCTTCTCTCCTACTCGTCTCTGCGTCGTCGGATTCTGTATGTTTGTGTGTTTGGACCAGAGTCAGAGAAACACCCCTTACATGTACTCGTTAGGCGTGGCGGAACGCTCCTGGGAAGAGGGAGAGGGGCGTGCGCAGCAGCAGCAGCAGCAGCAGCCACCGCCGGGCATGGGGCACGACTACGGAATGGGCCCTGGAGCCGCCTTTGCATTTGCGCCGCACCTGCGCAGCAACTTCTCTGGGCCTGGAGAACGGCAGCGCTCGCCGCCGTATACTGGCAGCACGCCACCACCGCAACAACAACAACAACAACAGCAGCAGCAGCAGCAGCAGCAGCAGCCATCTTCCGCTCCATGGTCCCGCTTCACTGCAATGGATTTTGAACTTGCTCTCCACGACGGTAATCAGCCGACTGACGACATGCGTCGTTCGGTGGCGTACCTAAAGTGGTATAACAGCAAGCGCATGCAGGACAGCCGTATTCCGGCGCCGTTGACCGACTTCCGCGGCGGCGCGAGAAACGCCGTTGAGGCGCCGTGGGACGGTGCATCCACGGCCCGCATGGCGGTCCAAATGCCAACGTCTGGAGGCGTCGCAATGGATGTTGGAAAAGGTAGCATTCGCCTAGAGCTGGACGCGAAAAACTTACAAAAAGCACACGAACAGCAATGCTTCAACCCTTATGCTGCTGGCTTTCAGCAGCGTGATGATAACATGCTGAGCCCAGGAACGCAGTTCTTTGGGGCGTATGCGCCAACGCCGTTAGCGACAATGGCGACGCCAAATACTCTCCGTGCCTACGCTCACTCTCGCATGGGCATGCAGAATCGCGGAAGTGGTAACAACAACGACCGTGAAGCCTCACAGAACATGTCACAGGTGCCAAATCAAGCTATCTATAACAACGAATGGAACACCAGTGGGGAATTCCGTGGAGGTCCAGGCGTGAGCCAGCAGTACTATACACAGGAACCTATGAACCCATTTGACTACTACACGGATCCTGCGGTGGCGGGGTACTACAACGCTGCAGCAGCAGCAGGTGTAGCTGAAGCCAGTCGGATGCAGTCAGCGCTCCTTGCAATGGGTTCTGGTGGTGACATGGGCATTATGCGTGGTGGCGGTGGTGGTGGTGGTGGCGGCGGCGGTGGTGGTGGTGGCGGACGCAGTAGGCGAGGTGGCAACAGAGGGCGTGGCGCGACAGGTGGCAAGTGGAATACAGGTGGTGGGAGGGGGAGTGGCCGTGGTGGAGCATACCGGGAGCCGCTGCAGCCGTGTTCAGAGCTGCTGGAGCAGTTCCGCGCAGATGCCATGAACGGTGCGACGAGCCAGTGGCGCATCGCCCACATCGCTGATCACGCGGTGGAGTTTGCGCAAGACCAGGAGGGTAGTCGGTTCATCCAACGAGCTGTGGATACAGCAACACATGACGAGGTTGATGCCCTCTTCCGAGAGATTTTCGAGTCACCTCTGGACCTGGTAACAGACATCTTCGGCAACTACGTGCTACAGAAGCTTCTTGAAGTAGGCAATGCGCGCCAGCTCGCCTATGCGGCTACGCGACTGCAGAATAATGTTGTCTCTCTCACTCTGCAAACTTACGGTTGTCGTGTAATCCAGAAATGCATTGAGGTAATGCCTCCTGAAGGACTTGACATTGTGCTGGCCGAGCTCAAAGGGAATGTGGCAAAGTGCATTCAGGATCAGAATGGGAATCATGTTGTGCAGAAGTGTGTGGAGGTCATTCCACAACGGTGTGGCTTTATTGTGTCAGCCTTCACAGGACGTGTGATGGAGTTAGCCACCCACGCATATGGCTGCAGAGTGATTCAATGCATTATGGAGCACTGCCCAGACCAAGAAGAAGCCATCTTCTCTGAGTTGGTCCAGTGCGTGGGCACTCTGGCGAAAGATCAATACGGAAACTATGTCATTCAGCACGTGCTGCAGCACATGAAGGATGAGGAAAAAGTGTCCCGTATCTTCAACGCCTTGAAGGTTGATTTCTACGAGTTCAGCAAACAAAAGTTTGCATCCAACGTCATGGAAAAGATCTTTATTCGTGCGAGCCCGCAGCAGCGCATGGAGCTCGTGCATATGTTGTGCTCTCCTGTTGTGGGACTTGAAGAGCCCGCCGTTGAGGTTCTGGCCTTCAAGCGTTCTGCCCCGGTGAAGAAGGACGCAACGGAGAAGCACCGTAGCGATAATGCCAAGAAGGGGCGCCGCGATAGGGAGCGTGAACGTGAGAAGGAGAACGCAGGTGGGCTTGTTGTGGAGGTGAGGACGGCCGGTAAGGAGGCTCCCAGCATGCTTTGCCTCATGATGCAAAATCCATTTGCCAACTACGTGGTGCAGCGTGTGCTGGACGCTGCGGATGTGGAGCAGTTCTGGTGTCTCATCGACAATATTCAGAAGTTCCTTCTTCCTATCAGCACGTACACGTACGGCGCGCCGATTGTACAGCGCCTGGCCCGACGTGAGCTCGTAAAGGCCCCTGAAGACGTTGTCTTTAATCTGTCCGCCACCGGCTCCTCCTCGAGCGGCAAAGGGAATCACGCCCATCATCGCAGGGATTACGGCGGCCACGACGGCGATGAATAAAATCTTTCCCGTTAGTCTCTGAGATGACGAAAAGGTGAGACCACGCCGTATCTGCACCTCTGGCTTTCGCTTGTGTCTCCAATTAGCATTCATATGCGCGGTGTTTGAAAGGTAGCCATAACACTGAGGGGGGAATAGGGGTGGAGTGAGGAGGCGCGGAGTCCGATGGACAGCATAGCATAATGAATAAAGGAGAAACAACAGGAAACACAAAAAAATTGAGTGTATCCCATCTACATGCATCACTAGAGGAAGTTAAGTGAAAGGGGATCTTGACAACCGCAAGACGGTGTCCATGGAAAGCATCGCGTGAACTTTACAAGATATATATTTATATATATATATAAAGACAAAGTCAGGCAAAGAACAACAGTTTCCATGCGGCTTGCTGGTGGTTATATACACACGCAACGTGGCTTGTGATGGTTTTTTTTCTTTCGCATACGGTTGGTGAGTTATTGAACAGCAGGGAATAAAGTGAATTATACAACTGAACAAGAGGAATGTGGGCAAGATCATTCCTTTTCGTTTTTACTGCTACACACTCGTGCCAGAAGCACCGATAAGTATATTGGACTGACGCATGCTACACCACTTGCACCAAATACATTTGCATATACTAGTATCTACACGCCTAGCGCTACGATTGCACGACGGATTTTGGCTCTTCGTGTAACTCTGCCAGTCTATCCATAATGTGAGCGTCTGTGAAGATATTTAACATGTCTGTATTTGATCTGTCTCTGTGCGTCGATGCGTGTCTGTCGATATATGTTTGTGGGTGTGTGTTAAAGTATGCGTGTCGATCGCGGAAAAGGCAATGATACAGGGAAGGAGGTGGTTTGTGAAGCAGCTCTGGCGCATTTATATGCTCTGTATGTATATAGATAGTTCTGTTTATATACATATACATATATATATATATAT